TTTAATACTTTTTCAGATGTTTCCTTTATATGTCTATTCCACCGCAGTGATCGATCCAGCCACATTCCAAGGTATTTTACGCTATCTACTACTTCAAAAGCAACATCTTTAATTTTTAGACTAATGTTATGTTGTCGACGCCCTCTTGAAAAGGTGCATATTTTACTTTTTAACGGTGAGATATCCAAATTTACAGTTATCATTTAAAATGTCTAATGCCAATTGCAGTTGATTTTCCGCCTCTTTCAAGTTTTTAGAAGTTATAAATATGACATAATCATCAGCATACTGGGAGATATTAAGATGTGTTTTGGAAATTATAGACTTACATATATCTATTGTAGCTATGTTAAACAGTAGCGGAGAAAGTGGATCTCCTTGTGCTAGACCGCGTACTTACTGTACTTCTAGTTATTTTATAATCTAGCCCTTCAATTATTAAAAATCTTTGGCTTAAATAAGTCCAGAGATAGTTGCAAAGTTTTGAACCAACATTAAGGCGATCGAGGGTCGATAAAAGATAATTTATGTCTACATTATTATATGCGTTTTCTAGGTCTAAAAAGCATGCTACTGTAAAAAAGATTTTTTGTAAAACCTATTTGAATGCTTGTAACTAAATCGGTTAAATTATCGTGACAGGAACGTGATTTTCTGACTCCTTTAGTTTCCTCAGAAAGTAGTTTTTTGTTTTCAATATACCACTCTATAAGGTTATTGATAATGGCATGAAATACTTTACATAAGCATGAAATAAGAGAAATAGGTCTAAGAGATGAAGTACAACTAGTGTTCCTACCCGACTAGGTATAGGTATAATGCGAACATGTCGCCATTGGTATGGAGCAAAGCTTTGTGTAAAAAATATATTATAAAGATTGAGTAAAACGTTTTGGCCCACTATAGGGAAATTAAGTAACATTGAATAGGAGATATCATCTGCGCCCGGGCACGTGTCTTTAGATTTTAAACATTTATAAAGCTCCGATCTAGATATTTCGGTTTCTAATTTAGGATTTTGAGATGTGTAACCTGGGTAGGGTTGACTTACATAGTCAGGGGTTAAGTTGCACAATAATGACTCAGCAATACTTTTTTCAATTTGTGGTTTAGCTGATGTATAACCTTTTAACCACTGCATTTTTCTCCACATTTCAGAAGCTGAAGATATTTCATTCAAGGACGTACAAAATTCCCACCATCCTTTACTTTTAGCGTTTCTAATTAGTTTTTGAGCCTTGCGAGTTTTTTCCTGCAATCTATTTAAATTAGCCGGTGTGGGATTCTGTCTAAATTTTTTAAGTGCTAGCCGTTTCTCTGCAACAGCGTGAGACAGATCAGGAGTCCAATATGGCTTAGGAATAAAATTAGCCTTGGGATTTAGGCATATTTTAATAAATGGAATACTTGCTTCTGCGGCTTTGAACAACAAAGTGATAATATCATCATAGGCTTCTTGTGGATTACTTGAAATTTCGAAATGAGCGCACTCTTCTTCTATTACCTGACGATACTTCACCCAGTCAGCTTTTTTAAAGTTACGTCTTTTATGAATAATAGGAGAATGATTCATAGATGATGAAATCTTAATTATTAGGTGGTCAATACCTAAGCACTCGTTTGTAACATTCCAATTAAACTTAAAAGCGATATCAGATGATATAAATGTAATGTCGGGAACTGACTGTTGTAAGATACCGCCAACTAATTTTAATCGCTTAGGCCTGCCATCGTTTATAGAAACAAAATTATGGTCTTCTAATGAGTCCAGAATTTGCGTGCCCCTAGAATCGGTTTTATTCGACCAATTAGGGTGATGTCCATGAAAATCTCCAAGTATTAGAGTCTTTTTATTAGAAAACGAAAATATTGAATCCTAATCACTACATGAAGTTCGAGCACTAGGCGAGCAATATAGAGAAATTATATGTTCAACAATTTCACAATTAGAAATTTTAACGGATATCACCTCAATAACCGCGTTGGCACTTCGCTGTGGAAGCAACTGAGCTGAGAGAGATTTGTGTACTATTAAAGCCACTCCGCCATAAGAGTCCGCCCTATCAAGTCTAAATACGTTATATTCTCTAAAGTTAAGTGTTATATCAGGATTCAACCATGTTTCCGAGAGCGCGGCGATATGTATTTTCTCCTGACACAAGAGTTGTTCAAATTCCGCACACTTTGATTTAATACTTTGAGCATTCCATTGCAAAATGTTAAGGCTGTCTTTACCTATTATTACCGAGTAGATTTTGTAAAAAAGACAAGTTCGAGATATTTTTAAATATCCATGTGATTATCCATTCAAAAAATAAGTGCACTACATTCTCGATTCTACTTTTTAAAGGCTCATTACTCTCATTAGAGATAAAACTTTTAAGTTGGCTTAATAAATTAAAGAAAGGAATATCAGATTGTACATTACGATTCTTTTTTTTGTTTTGTTCAGACACTGGTTGATCACATACACTACTTTCAGACTCTGTCGACATATTGCCGTCATGTATATATTCTTCTAAATTAGGTTCTTGAATTCTCTTCTTAATCTTCTTAGTTGTGTCATTTCGAACAGATTTTTCTCACCGACTGTCCAGTTTGTTCTTGTTAATGGGGCTCGATGACACGGCCTGTGCATAAGTAACTGGTGTAGAATTCTCCTGAACCGGCAAAATAGAGCTAAAAAACTTATTTGTGTTCCTGGGATAGGTTCCGGCAATTGAGGCATCTTATTTAAATTACCTAAACGGGGCATTGGTGATTGAGTTGGCACATAAGTAGGTGTTTCGGGCGGTACATACATTGCCATAGCCTTCCTGTATGAAACATTAAATTCAGCCATTATTTCCCGTAACTTCTTCTCCTTTATATATTTTGGACTTTGACTTCAATTTGATGTAATATACAACAACTAATTTAAAAAATATGCTGATTACATATATTTTTATAACAGTCTAAAATTAATTACCCAAATCTTGGATCATTAGAAATAAGAAATACTGGCAACATTCTCCTGTTACGTAATCTCGAAACATTGACATTCGTGCTTCGAATAACCTTCAAAATTGTGTTGGAATAACAAATTAAAATATAGTTAAATGAGTGTTTACGAGTGAAACGACTTCATCTTCAGACTTTTTGTTCACTTTAGTATTGTTTTTGTAACATTTAACTACACAGGACGGCATTTTGTAGGCAAATTTACTGCACGACGCCCCGGGAAGTACTGAGCGAAAATGAGCGTAGTTTGATGCACGTGTGTGCGTGAACGCGTGTGCTTACATAAAGGAGCGGAGTTTTTTGGCTTCACCAATAACAAAGGCCGCGCTGTATCTACCTTTTTTTACTTCATCTGAGACTGCGCGCGAGTGTCCGCATTACTTTTCATCATATTCCCCTCCTACGTCACAGCAGACCGTTGTTACTAAGGGTTGTCCATAAAGAGTAAAAAATACATTGAGAAATGGTAAGTTACTTAAGTTAGGTAGGTGACTATGATCGACTGACCATATTTTCGGTATACGTTACGACCATGATATATTGCTAGCGCATGCAACTTGCAAGGTCGTTCGTCGCGAATCGCGATGCTTGGCTCGTAAGAAATAGGAAGGTAGTGTAAACAACAAATAAACCCGAAATAACGATTCCTAAATAAAATGTGATCGTATTCTACTTAGTTAAAAATCTTGTAAGCAAAGCTTAAATTTCAGTATTTTGTGTCATTACAACTTAAAATATTTTAAGGACAAAAGACAAGTATAGGTAGAAGGTATTCGGATAGTGTATTTTAGTAAATTATTTATGTATTAATTCTGTAGTTAAATTATTCATCATCATCATTACAGCTCTTCACAAGTTCACTGCTGAACATAGGCCTCCCCCAAGAAATGCCACAAAGCACGGTTCTAGGCCACCTGCATCTATCGACTTCCTGCATGTCTTACCAGGTTTTCACTCCATCTAGTGGTGGGACGCCCTACACTTCGCCTGCCGGTACGAGGCTGCCACTCGAGAAACTTGTTCCAACTATTTAATTCTACAATTAAATATCCTAAGCACTAAACAAAATCTATTTCAACAAGTATTTACAAAAAAACTATTTATGTAAACAGCGTTAAAAAACTTTAACATTCACTCGTCTAGAACGCGCTAGCACCGAGTGCGTAGTATGTAGCCCGGGATGCATTGTGCTTGTAGGCTATTATTTCACGCAGGTAGCAAGAGTTACAGAGGCATGCTCATGTAAGCGGGTTGCGGGAGGGGAACTCTCGGCAAAAGCGAACGCAACTTAAATTTCATTAATTGTTTTAACATACTGTGTAGGACACTCGTCAATAAATTACGCGCAAAGTATTCTTATATACATTATATGTATTATCATTATAATGGCGGGAGTATCATCAAAAAGTGCTGTTAAAAGGTAATTAAGTGACGAAAAAAGGTCTTTTCAAAAAAATGGGAGGAAGAATTTTGTTTTATAACTGGACATACTGAAGGTACTGCAATTTGTTTAATATGCCGGGAAAGTGTTGTCGGAATAAAGCGATACAATTTGTTTCGCCACTATACAAGTAAGAACAATTCATTCACTGAAGCCTTTCCTTTGGAATCGAATGAAAGGAAGAATAAAGTAGCTGCTTTGAAATCTGCAATTCGTCGTGAACAAAATATTATGACGACAGCGGTTGGACAAAACGAAGCTGTTACAAAAGCATCTTACCAAGTTTGTTACATGCTTGCAAAAAAGATGAAACTTTTCACTGATGTTGAATTAATAAAGGAGTGCATGTTAACTGTTTCTCAGACTTTGTTTTAAAAATTTTCAAATGATAAACAAATAATCGCGGAAGTAAAAAAGCTTACGCTTTCTGAATCAACCTGTCGACGCCGAGTTGAAGATTTGTCAAAAAACATGTTTGAGGTAGGAATTGATAGGTTAAAAAACTGCAAATAATATATCTTCTATGTCTCAATGCTCACTTTTTGAGTGGTACTGCACTATGGACGGAATCATAGAAGAAGACTTCTTAGCCGTCATAACCATGAAGGGCCATACGAGAGGTTGTGATTTTATGGAAGCTCTGAAAGAATTTGTCGAAAAGTACGGTATACCTGTGATTAAATTGATATCAGTCTGTACTGATGGTTGTCCGTCAATGTTGGGTGCAAATAATGGTCTTATTGCCTTAGTGAAGAGAGAATGGAATATATCTAATTTGCTGTCCATTCACTGTTTGCTGCATCAAGAAACCTTGGCATGTCAAATTTCTAATAATAAATTTAAAGATGTCATGAATACTGTAATAAACATAATCAATTATATTGGCGCGCGTGAACTAAACCATCGAAAATTTAAAGACCTACTTTAGGAATTACAAGCTAATTATGGTGATGTAGTCCTACACACTGCCGTCAGATGGTTGAGCAAAGGAAAAGTTCTAGAACGGTTCTTTAATTTAAAATCCGAAATAATTCTATTTTTACAAAAAAGTGGTAAAGAATATCCTCAACTTCTCAACGATGAATGGTGGGCATTGACGGCTTTTTTGGCTGATATTACCATGAAGTTTAATGATCTTAATTTATAGTTGCAAGGGCCTAATAAGATAATCGGACAAATAACGAATAAAATATTTGCATTTGAAGCTAAACTACAACTATATATAAATGAGGTTCAAGCTAGAGACTTCTCAAATTTTTCAAACGTTGCAGCGATGCAATCAGAGTCGTCTATTCCCGACAGTGTTTATCAAGATATGGTTTCCTACTTAAATAAATATTTGTGAGAAATTCAAAAAAGATTCAATGGTGTGAGAAACATTAAGAACTGTTTTATTCTTGTAGAAAACCCTTAGCATTTTGAAAACAATGATGTGATTTTGTTTAGTCAGTTTGGATTTTCTAAGACTCAGTTGATGAATGAACTCATTGAACTAAAGTACGACACAGAACTCAAAGCGCATTTCATTGAACATCGTGAAAAGAATGAATACATTGAATTCTGCAAAAATATGCCTTATAACTATAAAAGTTTACGAGAATGCGCACAATTTATTTTGACAGTATTTTCTTCAACATATCTCTGTGAATTTCATTTTCCAAAATGAACTTTTTGAAAAATTAATACCGCAAGCGCCTCTCTACTCATTTAGAAGACACAATGAGAATTGCATGTACCTAGTTCCAAAGAGGCCAACATAGAAGATATTATTGAAAAATTAAAACACCATAACACTTAAATTACATGATACTAGTAGTTAAAATACCTAACTAGTAATATGTTCGTGTACTTATGTTAAAATAAAAAATACTGTTATACTTGCAAACCATCTATTTTCACTACAGGTAGGTACCAACCTATATTATGTAAAGATCATTCGCTTAGATACGGTCGCCTTTATATTGCGCCGCCTTAGCACGTGCCGCCTTTTGTCAAAGGATGCCTATGCATAATTATAAATATTATAATAATTGACTCCACGTCTGGTCTACTGGTTGGTGGTCACTAGGCCACTACCGTTGCGCAGGGTGTACTTGTGTTTTGTGTCCGAATACCAGCCGAAACAAATAGCTATTTGTGCGATCTACTAATATTTGTTTCGTGTGTTCTTTTTATCTGTTCATTGTATGCTAGCAAGAAACATTTATTAATTATATTGAAGAATCAGAAAAGAGCATTCTTAAATAATTTTGACGTCATAATGAAACGGCCTGGCAGCACCGTATTGCAAATTTTATAAACCAATGATTCCCCCCGCCCCCTTTGCTCCCTTTTCCCTCTTGGTTATTTATTAAAGTTATTTACTGGATTTAGGATATTTTCAACGATAAAATTTTATAATATAGAACTCAGACAAGGAAAAAAATGTATAAATAATTTTAGAAAATGAATTGATTGACAAATAAAAAATATGGTTATGTATCTCGCAACATTCGTTTTATTACAATAATCATCATAGGTACAACCCTAGCGCATTCGTGCGATGACACGCTTGCACGTGAGTCGCACGTCGGGCAACACAATCTCGACTTTTTGTGCGCGTACTTACGGTACATTTTTTCTCGCTGCGAGCAGCAGATATTATTATTAAGACTTTGTAGGCATTTTCGCTTTTGTATGAGAGTGATGTATCTGTTGGTAAACCATTTATTAATCTGTGATGCTAGTTAGTTCTTTGAATTGTCAAATTAAAACTTCACATTAGTCACAGGTATGAATTGCCATAAAAATCTAGGGGGGCAATCGGGTTGACAGCTCTAAAAACTATGTCAATTGATGGGTGGCGTCACTAAAGAATCCAAGAATGTGCGGCCCGCTGTGATACTTCACAAAGCCCTGTGTGGGCCTTGACCAGATAAGTGTGACGACCACTGGTCTAAGGCCATTAGCGAAACAAAAAACGTTGTTGATAAATTCATTTAGTCTATGACTAACAAGTAAAATTAAGCAATTTTATTTATCCGGATCGTAATACATATTTATATCAACGAAAGTTTATATAAGCTTCATCTGAGATCTTACAATAAAAACGTAGTCGAACAGTGCGGAACTAAGTTGTATAATTTGAAATATATCGTGAAAAGTTCACTATGAAATCTACTTAAATTCAGCCGGTATATTTCCGCCTAACTACCTTAAATTTATTATGTGTTTCATGAGGAATAATAACTATGTTTTTTGATCTAAACTGGGTTTGTGTCACGGAACGTACACCGAGAACACTGCTGCGATAGTTTTATAGAATAAGTGTGCCAAATGAGCACACAGTTCACCTGATAATAAGTGGATGCTGTGGCCCATAGACGTCTACCTTTATCCTCGATTAAGAATCTTAATGCAGATGCGTTTTCACCCTTGTGGCCTGTGGACTAAAATGGAATGCCTCGTTTCCAGTAAAAAGGGTCACCGTTTCTCTACACTCACCATACGAAACACACCAACTTTAAGCTGCTATTTTACGCTTGTATTCTGTGGGAGCGTAGTGCTACTGCGTTCGAGCCGACCCATTCGTGCTACAACTATTATAGCTGCAGTAAGTACGTAAAGTAGTATAGTGATATAACATAGGCACGGCCGCGGTCTGCCTTCCATTTTGTCGCTAGATCACAACTACAAAGCTAATAAAAAGTTCACTGCTGAACATAGGGAGAACATTTGTCATAGTTCCCTTCTTAGCAAGTGGTTTGACAACCGCACTTTTTAGGGTTCCGTAGTCAACTAGGAACCCTTATAGTTTCGCCATGTCTGTCTGTCCGTCTGTCCCTCCCCGCTTAATCTCTGTGACCATTAGCACTAGAAAGCTGAAATTTGGTACCAATATGTGTATCAATCACACCGACAAAGTGGTAAAATAAAAATTGTTTTTTTTTTTAATTAGGTTAGCCCCCCCTATATGTAAAGTGGGAAATGATTTTTTTTAATTTCAACCCTAACTTGTGATATATTGTTGGAAAGGTATTTAAAAATGAATAGGGGTTTACTAAAATCATTTTTTGATAATGTCAATAATTTCGGAAATAATCGCTCCAAAAGTAAAAAACAATGTGTCCCCCCCCTCTAATTTTAGAACCATAACTTTAGAAAATATGAAAAAAAAATCTGAAAAGTAGAATTTTATAAGGACTTTCTAGGAAATTCATTTTCAACTTGGATGGAAACAACAGTACCCACTACCGGGAGCAGTTGCAGGAGCGCGGAGCGCTGCTGGAGCGCGAACATAATGGATACTGGAGTGGGAACACTTATTGTGACGGACGGGAAACTACGGAATCCTACACTGAGCGTGCCCCGAAATGCTCTTGGCCGGTTTTTTTTATTATTTGGAGTTGTTAGCAGGAAGATACTGTTGCCTAACTCCTGTTTCATTACTCTCTGTCGTCTTTTACGATACTCACGGGATATTATAAGGTCTTAGAGCTTCTAGGTTAATATAAATTATTTGGTAGGAGGTCGTGAATTCTTTTTCGCCGTCGCTACACAGCATTATCAAAATCCTGTCTCAAATTCATGATTTAGAAGTATTTTCATCCAAGCAGATAAATTTTTGTTGTATATAGTCGGTGGTTTTCATAAGATCACCACTTTAGAAAGGCTTGACAGATTTCGATGAACAGTCACAGTTACAATTGGACCCGGTACGGACATGTGCTGCAGAATTGGCATCGGTTCTAACACGTCTTTTCGGGTTCTCTTACTCTATAGGCGTTGATTCAGGCTCATGTAATACAGCCTTAGTGCACACAATGTCTAAAAAAGGAGTCCGTTCGGACCCGTCCAACTACAGGCCTATCGCTGATGAGTTACAAGCTTATTGCTTAGATTTGGCGCAGATTTGCATCTGCGCCATTGTTAAAATTTACATTACATTGTTACAATTCTTTTCCTGAATAAAGAAAATTATTATTATGGGGTACTAGTAGTGTATTCTCCTCTGGTTGGGCTGAATAAATATATAAAATGAATGATAAATATACATAAATATATATTTTACATACTAACATAAATAAATAAAAGCCCAACCAGATGGACGCCCTCGGCAGGGTAAACCAAACGGCCGATGGTGAAGAGGAAAGGAAAGGAAAGCGGCGGACGATGCAGGCGATATCAAGGAGCACCGCTTTCTGCATTTGAGCCTGGAGCAGTCTGTCACGGAGTCCCAGCCGCCTGAGATGACCCGAGGGGCTGACTGGGATTAGCCCGTTTGCAAAAACGACTACAGGAATAATTTCGGTCGGCAGACCACCCCACATGTCGGTCACCTCAAGAGCCAGGTCCAGATATTTTGTTTGCTTATCTGTTTCGGCTTTCACGATGTTCTCGTCATACGGAATGGTAATGTCGACCAAAAATATCCTTGACTGTGCCTGGTCTATCAGCAAAATATCAGGCTTATTCGCAAGAATAGTCCTATCTGTGATGATGGCCCGGTCTCAGTATAGCCTGGCGCGATCATTTTCGAGCACGGCTTCCGGCAAGTACTTGTAATACGGCAATTTCCGGTCCACGAGACCGTATTTCAGAGTGAGCTCCTGGTGAAGAATTTTGGCTACTAAGTTGTGCCTGTGCAAGTACTCAAATTATTATCGCTATCACCTCCTTGT